CTACTACTACTACTACTACTACTACTACTACTACTACTACTACTACTACTACTACTACTACTACCTACTACGACTACGACTACGACCACGACTACCACTACGACTACCACTACGACTACGACTACAACTACGACGACGACGACCACCACCACCACCACCTCCTCTCTTCTGGACCCTCTGTGCTCTCCTCTGTGTTCTCTTCTGCCTTCTCTTCTGTCTTCTCCAAACCCTCTGACCATTTCTTCTGTTTCTTTTCTGGCTTTGTGTTCTCAGGCTTCTCTGTCTTCTCCTTTGTTGACTGACTTGGCTTCTTCAAGATCTTCATAACCTTTGTTGTAGGTTTCTTCATCACAAAGCTTGCCCTTGGCATGTGCCTTTGGCTTGCCCTTGGCATGCGCAGCTGCATTGACTCATGGTCACTCTGGTCAACACTCTGGTGAGGACTCGGTTGTGTAGCAGGCACTTCTGCTTCTCCACCATGACTGGACATGGCTCTAGTCTCTAGTATCTCAAAAAGATCTATATACGGTAATCTTGACTGCTTCCTGCTCTCATGAACCCAAAAGACATGAAGAAGCTCTGGAAACATAACAACCCAGGTACTAACCAACTCCATCTAGTCCAAGTATTCAAGAACAACAACATCAAGTCTCAAGTACTTTGGCCTTTACACAATTAAGACCTCTCCAAGTAACTTGCCTCAAGATGCAAAAGCAATCCAAGAGAACAGGTCCTTTTGAAGTACAAATTTGACACAACCAAGACCTCTCCAAGTAATTTGTCCCAAGACACTAAAGCAATCCAAGAGATCAATTCCTTCTGAATTAGAAGCATTTTTATAGAGTTTTCTTAAAAATTTATGTTTTTATTGAATTTTAGTGGCGCATTTTTGATGCACTTTTGATGAATTTTTGATGCACTTTTGATGAATTTTTTGGGACAAGTTACTTGGAAAGGTCTTGGGGCAAGTTATTCGGCATCCCAAGTAATCATGTATCTCAAGTATTCACAACACAAGTTGACTCACAAGTATATCAAACCTCAAGTATTTCAGCTTATCAGAGTACATAAGCGTCCAAAGTAATCAGCTATCTCAAGTATTCACAACACAAGTTGACTCACAAGTGTATCAAACCTCAAGTTTTTCAAAATCTTCAATGCAAGACCTAAGAAGTCAAATGGTGACAGCCCTCAAATCTCACCCAACAATGAACAGGTCACATGGCACAAGAAAGAACTTCTAAGAAACTACCCCCAAGCACTCAAGACCGCTGACATGCTGCAGCACACACCTATGTTTATCCTTGCTTAGGCCCCCAAACTAGCAACACACAGCTGTCAAAGAACATTCCCACAAGTAACATGGCAAGCCTCAGGCAAGCAGCAAGAACTCACAAGTAACATGCCAAGACTCAGGTCATGCAACACAACCTCACAAGTATAACTTGCCAAATCTCGGGCAAGCAACAAAAACTCACAGGTAGTATGCCAAGACCCAGGCATAATGCAACACAACCTCACAAGTACTATAACTTGCCAAGCATCAGGCAACGAACAGAAACTCACAGGCAAAATGCCAAGACTCAGGTAAAATGCAACGCTGCTTTACAAAATGTCCCACACTGTGCCAAGTAGAACCCTGTGCCAAACATACAATTTTGACATTTGTTTTTGGACAGAGAAAGAACGACACTTCTCATGTGTTGCATAAAAACCATACTTTTTAGAAATTACTATATATAGTAAATCAAATTACTATATATAGTAGTTTTTTACTATATGAGATCACTATTTTTTAGCAGTAATTTTTGTATAGTAACTTTAAGAATTATAGTAATCTATTGTCTTAGTAAAATTACTACTTCAGGGGACTGAGGGTACGACTACTACTACGACGACGACGACTACTACTACGACGGCGGCGGCGGCGGACGACGGACGACGGACGACGACGGACGACGACGACGACGGACGACGACGACGACGACAACCTTCATGAATGGCACAGTACCTCAGACAACCTATTTGCGCATTGCTTACGCAACCACAGCTTTAGCTTACTGGCCTGGATTAACAAAAGTCTTACACAAAGCTTATAACGTAATTATGATTCCGAATCCCCAAAGGATTTGCTTGCGCAGCAATACATTTTGCTCTTCACATGTTCATGTAAAGAACAGTACTTACACAAACCTTGCGCAACAAGTGTGTTCAAAATGGAGCTTCTGCAGCGGTACGACACACAGTGTTTTGCTGCAAAGTTTTGCTTGTGACGGATTGATGTGACATAGATGATTGATGGAATGTCGATCAAGGGAGGTTTTGGCTGGAAGATCCGACTGCGAGAAGCTGTTGACTACATGACAGCCGACAGCTAAGAGGTTGGCGGCAGGCTCTTGGATCAATGCAGGGGACCCAGGTAGACCTATCAGTCAACAAACGCACGAACCCAGGACCGCAGGACTTTTCGCTGCCAGGTCTGCCAGGTCGCTCCAGCACAAAGGCAGCGGCTGCTGCAAGCCAGGCAACCTGCATGGACTGCTCCTTCGGCCGTAGACCAAACATGATCGCTGCGAGTCCACTGACATAACCTTAGCAGTTCGAATTTCGCTGCTAAAGCGAAACAAGACCGCGGAAAAAAAAACATTTTTGAGGTTGGGTAGCTCAACCAAGTGGAAAGTGTCTCTCGAAGTACACGATCACGTTCGAGCCGCGCAAACAAAGTGAGGCGGCTTTTTCACCTCAGGCGGCCTATGGCTCAA